AACAATAAGATATATTATAAAAAGTGACATCGTTTTTGAACGATAATATTTTTTAAGAGTTAAACCATCCACACTGTTTTCTTTGAACAGCGTTATTAAAAAAAAAATCCAACAAAAACAATTTTTTTAAAATGTTCCTCGAGTAATTTAAGATGCTTAGTTCAAATCTGAACTGTTGTAACCGATGGCACATAATACCTGGCGGGGGATTACGGAATAATTAACGGCACATGGGGTGAAGGTTCAATACGAACCTCGGTAAACTATACAATTTTGAAGGTTTATAACTTTCAATTACATTTTACTAATAATATATTATTAATTTTCTTTTCAATTTAATTCTTCGTAATTCTACTATTGAACTAATTATATTAAACACTATTCTGATTGTACCGATTATTTAAAAAGCTACTAATTTTTATTTCTTGCATAAAATTGGGTTTATGTTGCATCTTTGATGTAAATCAAGCACAAAGACCGGCTCTAAATGTTAGAATCAAGAGAAATTGCTCTACATTAGATAATAGTAATGGGGTCTGTTATGAAAGAAAACGGCTCATTTTTCGTCGGCGACGTATCAAAAAATTGTTTCACTGTGGCTGCTGTGGACCCAACAAATAACACAAACCATACATACATACATACATTTTCGTCGGCGACGTATCAAAAAATTGTTTCACTGTGGCTGCTGTGGACCCAACAAATAACACAAACTTATATACGTTTCAGTCAAGGGAAATTATTCAAACAACTAAGAGGTTGGACATAAAATTAACAGAGGGTAGGAGGGTGGGATAATGAATTTGTAACAAATATGACAACCAATCGTACAATGAGAGGCAAAAAAGGGGCCACCTTCAATTTTATTAAATAATTATCTCAGACAATCCAGCATCGGATTATCTCCAAGCTATATTGGGTTTTAAAGGATTTGAGGTAAATTATAGGCGGAGAGAGGGTTTTGAGAAGAACAGGAAAGCGATATAACGCAGCAATTTTTTCACTTTGGAAGAGCTACGGAGATGGTGGTTTATCATTTGGGCAGGCGTTTGTACGAAAGGTCGTACAGAGTTGATGATCATCGCGGCTTCCCTAACAGCTGCGCGAAATATTGAAGAGTTGACGAACCAGAAGAAAATTTTACTTATATGCCACTAATTGGCGATGGTTTTATTTTTATGGATGGCAATGCAAGGCTACACAGCTAGGATTGTTGCTGACTAATAGGACTAATCCATGTTTGGAGTGGCCCGCATGTAGTCTCGACTTAAACCCTATCGAACACCTGTGGGACGAGTTGTCAAAGAGGGTAAAAAAAGTTTCAATTTATTTATTAATCTGGTATAGCGATGGGATGTTGTGGGCCTCAGTTTTAGTACTCTGTTTAGGATGTTGATGATGTCTGGTCAAAATGTAAGGACTTTCAATATCCAATGTACAATAGAACAAGTGCTGTGATGTCTGTGGTTTAAAGATTATATGTATACGAGTGTATTTGTGAGTATAGATTTACACTTTTGTAAACAATTTTAAAACTGACAAATAAACGTTTATAGTAGGACCTTGAGAATGACCCAGTGGGTTGAAACTGGTCGGTAATAATTGGGCGTTGAAAGTCTTTTTGTTGCGTCCCGACAACTCAACGTCATAAACAGAGCAGGTATACACTATATAGTAAAATAAAATTTACAATTTCCATGGTCTATATTATAAGGCAAATTTTAAAATTTGAGGAGGAAATAAAAACATTTCAATAAAAGTATAGTCACAAATTATTAAAAACTGACAATATTACTGTACAATAAACAATTGTTCATATACGATTAAGTTGATGGTTTTTTATTCAAGGAGAAAGAATTGGTAATTATTTTATTCACGAATACTCTGTATCAAGATCTGGTCTTGAAAACAAAAGCAAATAAAATATGTCAAAGTCCTTGTCAAGGACTGAGTCCTTCTTAGGGAAATTTGAGACTGTAGATTAACGCCTGTAAAAAACATAAAGATATCAATCTGTAGAAATATTTAAGATTGTTTGGGCCTGATGATGACGTTAGAATAGATCTAAAGCTTGACAGTAACAACTAGTTTTGCTTTTTTTTCAATCCGTGATCCAGTGTTCGTGAGTGAAAAAGTTGTCCATACTTTTAACAATGGAAATTATTTTATTTAACAATTTATCTAATCTTGGTATTTTTTTTACACACACATATTTGTGATATATCTTTTTTTTGGGGGATTTTTCACTTGTACCAATTAAGTTTTGTTCATGGGAATATTATTGTGAAGGTGGAGTAACCGCTAAACCATAAAATCTGAAGAAATATTCTACTTTTTATTAATCAAATAAATCATTAATTTTTCTTTAAATGTTTAACTAATTGGAATAAAACAAGTAAAAAACTTGTGAAAAATATAAATTGATTTAAACATTTCAGTAAAGATAAATCCATTTATAAAATAAAATATTCTAAAAATTATTTTTCTTTCAGCTGAAATAGAAAAAAAGAGGTAAAATACGTATACGTATAAATACGTACATATTCTATCACTTTTTTCACATTGCTTCGTTATGTAAAAGTTACTGGAGGTGAGGGTCGAAACGAGGCGAAATACACACGAAGCCTTTTGTTTGCCGTTGATATCGTTTTGTTTGAAGAAAAAGTTTAAAGAACATTTCATCACTATTGTACGATTTATCTTCCCTGTCCGAGAGCGTTTGGAAATTCAATTTTGTACAAAATATTTCAAACGGTATCGGCTGAAAGTACAATTGAAGTACAGTAAATAAAATTTATTATATTATTTTGTCAGAATGTGCCTAATATGTTAGAATAGAATTAGAAGATTAATTAGTGATTACATTAGCAAAATAGTTACTCTGAAAAGGGAATTCTCTCAAAGCCATTATCTATTTATCTTGTTTATCTATCTGACTATCTATTCATGTATCTCACTTACGCCTTTTCCCTCTTTCTCTTTCCTTGATATATAGGCTGAGTCGTTCTCCTTTCTTTCTATATATCTTGAAAATAAATAATTGTTAAAAAATAAAGACCACTTGATTAATTTACAGAGGGATCTTTAATCTTATTTTGCACGTCAGAAACACGAGGGGAAGGCATGCAACTCCCGACGAGGTTCAGAATCGTGAGGGCGGCCAACAAACTTAGACTAACGATTATCAAGCTCTGCTACAAAAGGTCGATACGCTCAGTCATGCAGAAAAGGCAATTAAAGAAATTGAGTAAGTTGCAGTGATTAAGCAAAGAAATTATATTCAAATAAGACTGATTGCTTGTTTTATTACCGTAAATGTCTATTTTTGTACAAATGCTCAAAATTAATTGAAGACTACGTACGATTAAGAATATTTTAAGAAAGCAAATTACATCCCATAATTTTTTTAATAATAACTACAAATGATTTAAATGAATCATCATACAAAATATACTTGTAAAATTTACTGTTAATTGATTAAATAAAACTTTTTGATCATATTTAAGAATAAATGTACATACGATTAAATCCATTATATTAATGAATTATTTCATTCAATGAATTAAACTTTTATGTAAGGTATTGGTTGAAATGAAAACGTTAGTGTCACTAGCGGGATTCGAACCCACTTTTTTATTTCAACCAATATCTTACATAAAAGATTAATTAAATGAAAGAAGTTATTTCGTCAATCGGGCCACGAAATATAATTGATTTAATAAGTAAAACGAAGTATATCTTCACTAGAATCAAATAGATTACACGACATTTGAAAAATGGCAAAAAAGGAGGGAAAATTCGAATGATAGGTTGAGGTGGGAAGTTGGTGTCCGAGTGGATCGTAGTCACGATATCTCAAGTGGTAGAACAGCGGCGTATTTAGCAGAAGGTGGTGGGTTCGAATCCCGTTCGTGACACTAACGTTTTCATTTCAATGAATATCTGTCATGTATATTCGAAGTTGTGGGATTTTGGACCGACAAGCAGCTGAGGTCATCGTCGGTTCTCTGCGTGCTTCCCTTATTTTTCTGGTCTTTCACGAATGTACTGTTTACTGCAGCCATTTGAGCAGCTCGATCTGGTTAGTGACTCTCCACTTTTATATGTATACTATGTCGATATCATAGCAAGGTAGCCTCTCGTTTGTACCTCAGTTTGTCAAATACAGAATAAGATATAAACATAGATGCCTTGTAACTTCACTCCCCCAGAGTTCTCGATAATCCTGGGGGCGGTTTTGAACCCACTCCATTCTCGCTAATAACTTACTTTTAGTCTCGTCGTTACACACTCATCCCAGAATAAAATTCTAATAAAATATATAAACGCAATACCCTATCCAAACTTAGAAGTCAGTTAACATTCACTCCTATGTAGTACTCAATATTCCTCGGGATGGGGTGAGAATAATCAATACAACAAAAATGCTTTTTTTCAGGTTGGTAAATGAGTGAAGATCGGTTTTTAATTAAATAATAAAATGTTACAAGTAATTAAGGCTTTCAGTTGAGATAAAAAAAGTCAATGGCACGAGCGGGATTCGAACCCACGATCTTCGGCTTGATACAGTGGCGTATCAAGCCGAAGATCGTGGGTTCGAATCCCCCTCGTGCCATTGACTTTTTTATCTTAACTCAAAACCTTAATTAATTGTAAGATATTAATTGGTCAAGCGGACCACGAAACTAGTGAATTTAATAAATAATAAAAGTTCAACTTGATAATTGAAAAAGAAATTCCTAATTAATTGAAATGTAGGTTTAGAAGATAGGTAACTATGCTGTTTTTAATAATTACGGACTATGACAGTAAATAATATTTTCCTCTTTGCAGTACAACGTGCAATGATAGTGTGTAGCAAATTCAAGCAATTACCCAGGAGCCAGAAATAAGCGAGCAAAACTATACACATGCCGTTTTATGATTATGTTTAGTAGTTAAACAAACCCGCTCAAAATTATTTGCACTAAAAATAATTACATTGTACGAAGAGTACTTACTAATCACTAGGAGGGTAAACGATTCGGAGGAGTTTGCACTGTCGCTGCTGAAAGATTTGCAAGTGTAGTTCCCTTTGTCGTTCCTCATAATGTATTCGAACAAGAGCAAAAGTTGAAAGCCCTTCCCTTCATACCTCTCTTCAACGTGAATTCTGAAAACAAACAAAGTGGCCGGTTTAATTCATTCAACTAAGCAGCGACCGGCATTTAACCAAAAGACATCAATTACAAGAACAATTATTTATATAATCTATTATAATGGCTTATTGTCTTTTACAAAAGGTTTGCTTAATACTTGGCTGTCTGTCAGATGCGTTAAAGCCTTCTTCTTCTTCTTCTTCTAAGGCTATCTTCAGTGGATATCCGAATGTCTCTCTGTATATAAAATAATTTCTTACAACTTTCCTCAATATCCTATCCTTTTAATGAGTTATGATATACAAAATATACAACAAACATTTTATGTAACTTTTAAACTACTCAAGTCATAACTGAAACAAATAAGACTGAATACCTCAGGGATCCGTTCGCGTTACACGCTTTAACATATTTATAAAGAATATCTTAAATTTAGAAAAAACTGTTGAACTTGCATATTTGGCAAATGCAAAATGAAGGATTACTCAAACAAAAGTTAGACAGAGGCAACTCTGAACTCGCAGATGCCCTCATAGGCAATGAAAGTGAACAGCCCCGACCGAAAAACGTTAAATATTTTATTATAAAGTCAAGCTGGGGCTTTACTCATCATGGAAAATTGGTAAGACGGCCACAGCAATCAGGGCCGTATTCATTTTTTTTAATAGACTGATCACTGATTTATGTAAATTCAAATCCACACGGCATACACGCGTGTACAGAAATGAGCCTATCACTTCCCGCAGTCCACTGGTAATTAAGCTTAATTTACGATAAATAAAAATACCGAGTTCCTCGAGGATCACCAGCCCGGGTTTTGACAGTCCAGCCGCCCACGGGGTCATTTCAACGAAGTGAGCGCCTAAATTTGAGCCCATTCACACTTACTCTTAAATACCTAACTACTTACATAACTTCACTAATTTTGTCGTCCGCTTGACCAATNAGCCCCTTTTCTTGCAAGGGTGTCCGCTTTCTCGTTGCCTTCTACTCCCATGTGTCCTGGGACCCAGCAGAGGCTGACTTTATTCTGCGAACCTAATATGTTTAGTTTGGTTTTGCAGTTCAACACCATCCTTGAACTAATGGTATTTGAGCTTAGTGCTTTGATGGCTGCTTGGCTATCTGACATGATAGCTATATTCTTGTTTTTGTATCCTCTACTTAGATTGAATTGGATACATCTTTCAATTGCGTGAATCTCAGCTTGGAAGATACTGGTGTGCTTTCCCATGCGTTCTGAGTATTTGGTTTCGGGTCCAAACACTCACTTCAACAGATTCTTTCATTCACAATGAAACCTAGGGTTTACAACAATATTACCAATATATACAAACATTCAATAAAACAACTTTTGTCCCAAGGATGGAAACAGGGAAACCAGACACTCGCCGCCGTCCTCAAGCATGGTTCACATAACGGGTTTTTTATTACTATTCCCTCTCTGCACAGGCAAATCGAGCAACATTTCTCTACTTGTCGGACTCTTTTAATATATGTTAAAATTTTGGTATAAATTATATAATAATTATTCATTATACCCATTTTAACTAATAGTATGCTTGTATGATTGAATACTTACATTAATGTAAGTAATACTTTAAATTGTGCAAAAATTATAAATATATTGACTTTTTTGTAATTCTTCTACAATGTTAAGTAACAAGTTAAGTAAAGTCTTGACGAAATAGCAGTGTTTTTATTTATTCGCGTCAATCCCAGTAGTCTGAAAAAATAGAAATATATTTTTGAAGGCCGATTACTAATTAAATCTTAGACACTCATTTTAGTTTTGAAGGCAAACTAGCCATAATCCGGCCACTACGGTAGCCGAGTGGTTAGCATGAGAGACTCTCACGCCGCGGTCGTGGGTTCGATTCCCACCGTCGCCTCTGGCCCTTTTTTCACAATAACCCCCCCCAATTTGAACACACATATAAGAATTGTCACATGGCTAATATGCATAGTTCATTTTTCGCCAAAAAAAATTCATCACAAAAAATTAACGAACTAAAAAAAAAAAAAAAAAAAAAAAAACGGAATACGATTTTTTGAAATAATGAATTTTACTAACAATGTATTGTACTCGCTTCGGCGGTACATATACTAAAATTGGAACAATTTATTACACGGTTTTGCTCATAAATGTAATTAACAATTTATTTCATAGTTTTGCTCGTAAAATTAACCGTTTTCGTCGGGTAGCATCAGAACAGGACACCCATATTTTTTGTAGTTTATTTCAAACTAAGTACATGTAATTTTGTCGTTATATTAATTACATGTTATTTTAATGTTCACCAAATTAAACGAGATCAAAAATGCATTTTTATAAACATTGTTTAATTATGATGGTTAGGAGTAACTATATTTAAAACAATTAAGTTTAACAAACAATTTATTAGATGGTTGTGCTCATAAAATTTAACTAACAATTTATTAAAGGCTGTACAAGGGTTTGCTCAAAATAGTACATTAAGAACAAAAGATGCGTTGCGATTGTGATGGTGATTATTGTGATAAACGCTGTGGACTGTACGCGACATGTGCTTGCGTCAGATAGATCTGCACACCCCACCAAAACGTGGCAAGGCGTCGGGTAGCATCAGGTAGCGTCGCATGGCGTAGCATTGGGTAAGTGTGTTCCCGGCTTTAATCCTTCTAACTTCTTTTCATGTTGCACGAGTTACGTTATTGTGTTATATGTTATAACGGTAACCAGTTTTCTCATTGGTTTATTCCATTAATGGCCTCTCTGTCCTCACGGACTCATCAAGTGTGGATATAAATAAAAAACACGTACATAAAAAGGTCTGGTTCACTCAACCGCAGGATTACTCGATATTCCTCCGGGTAATTAGGGATAAGCCTTCCATTCACGCTAATAAACTAAACGCACACACCACAATTCGGTCATCCTACTCGACAATCCTCGATATTTCTCGAGGTATTACTCAATTTATATACAAATATATTTATTGTATATCTTAAACGTCAATACCAATTATGAAAATGGCAGTTGCAATCTCGACTAATCTAATCTCCAATAATCGGTCACAATATTGATGCTGTTAAATTAATCTAAGAGATAAATAAATTCTACGTTGCAAAAAAGTATCTTTTTTAATGTTTCGATATCAGGGAGAGATTGAAAAGTTCTGTTCTGATAACAATGCTGGTGGGAGGCAGGGGAGGCGAAGGCCGTTTAATTGGTTTCAAAAACCCCTAGATGGAAAAAGCAATTGTCTACTTAACAATACTTTTTGTGAAAAGAAACTTCCCAACGGTTTTTCATCACTTATTATTCACGCCTCTTTCCCCTTTTGCCTTTCAGGGCCGAGTTAAGTCCGTCGGTGTAATATACAAGGCCAAGTTTCTAAGAGGATCTTCCTTTTCTGAATTTCATCACCGTTCGGATTATAAAAGTTACATTTTTATCCGTCCTCCCTGGTTACCTGTCGTCTTTTTTATTTCCATTTTTGCATTCGTCCAACTTTTTTTTGCGAGGGATGTACAATTTTAAAGTCCTCATTCTTTATACTTTAATTAATGGGTGGTCGCTTTTTTCTTAATTTTTTCCAGTATGAACTGATCTGTTCATATCATTGCTCTGTGCTAAACCATGATAAAACACCAGCACAATGAGAGACGAAATCGTAAAAACTTTATTTCACTTGAAATAATAACCAAATTAGATGCATAATGAACAAAATGCTTAAAAAAAGCTCCTCGTATGAATTCAGTTTTAGAAAACAACGAAACATTCTCTTTGTTTGGTCAGTTGGATTTATTTGTTCATAAAACAAAATCGAATCGGACCAACAACATCGGTCGATATCCACAACGTTAACACAGCACAAAACAAACTAGTTTCGATGCTGTAAATTTCACAATTTATTCAATGCTTGACCATTCGCTTGACCTGTTCTCACACTCGGCAGCTTACCTAAAATATTATTTGATACGAAACAACATTAAAATCTGATTAGATATTTGAAAATTTCGATAGTAAATTAACCTAACAGCGAAAACGTAAAATGTGATATGCATGTAATGTATGCTAATTCTTTAATGTATTCTAATCTCGTTTATACAAAAAGTAATAAATTGTATGTAAATCTTCTTTTGGCAAAATTATATTTTATTAAGTAATAGAGTTGAGTTTTATCACGATTCAAGTTAATGAATCATTATGTTTCAATAAATTCACTATTTTAAAAAACCTTAATTAATTGTAAATTATTTTTCATCTTTAAATATGACACGGTAAATTTTTTAAATTGATTGAATAAAACACTATTTTTCCATTTAATCTAAAAAAATAGTTGAGTTAATATTTAAACATATGAAATATTTAAGTTGACAGGGTTGTTTAATATTTCAATTTACAATTTTAAAATTGTATGAAACAGCATTGATTTGTTGGTTTGTATTTTGTTACACAATGACTTTAACAATTTGTTATTATACGCCACTCTTCAACATAAAACGTTTGTCGTATCTTTTTACGATCCGATCCTATGACTTGGAATAAGACTGTTTTCTCGTGAGACTAACATAAAAAGAGGCATAAACAAGGTATTTCCATTTTATGGCTGCATAATCTCTTATCCGGAGATGAAAACGTTTTAAGTGGATGGTGTGGATACGCCCGGTTATCCGGGCGGTTTTACTTCCGAATCCGATGCCTTACTGCCTATCAATCGTAGAACTGATGACAGATAAAATACAACCGCTATAAACCGACATCTCAATGTATGTTTCTTATGAATAAATACAATTTTCGTTGATTATCTTGTGCTTATAATATTTTTTATGTATTAACAAAAAATTGCAATAATGAATTTAAATAGATAAATTTAAAATAAGTAATAACCAGCCTCCGGATATGACCACCAAGATCATGTAGCTTCTGACGCTAAGAAATACAATAAAAACATGATTAAAAGAAGGTGGCAGCGTCAATGGGCTGGAAGGACAGATAAATTCTCGCGTATCAAGAGCACTGATGGGT